CAGCACGTTCTCGCCTGGCCAATTCAGTGCCGCTCTGATTCCCCATTTGCACCATTTGGGGTGTGGAGTGTCGACCAATTGGGATCCCTTTGGGGCGGTGTTAAAAGTCTGGGAAACCGCATGTTAGACGGACACCTGTCTTTTTGGGGGTCACGAGGCATCGGCCTTCTGATGCACTTGCCGTCTCGTGAAGGATGGGCTGGCGTCTTTGGATGTGTTTTCAAAGACTCATTGCTTTGACAGTGCTTGAACTTTTCCCAAAAGGTCCGTTCAGCCCCTCCCACTTCGCAAAAAACATGCACCGCCTCTTGCCACAACTGTCAAGTTCTTGCATGGGTGTGTCAGGAAGATGTCCAGCCAACTGCAGCTATATGGAAATCGGGAGGGTCAAACAAGCAGTGAGAATGCCACAATGTTCCAAACTGGTTGGAAGTCATAAGTGTTGTAAGCACAAACAACTCACAGGTCCTCAGCTTACACATCGCCTTCTCGTTTTTCTTGCTGGAGACTTCCTTGACAGCTCGGCTCATGGAGCCTGTTACGCACACTTCGCCTGGCATGGCATGAGGACGTGGAGCGGCCCCGATGGCTCCGGCCCCGTTTCCGGGGAGGCTGAGGCCTTGGCCTGGCGCCTGGCCCAGCTGCAGGAGGAGATCCGCGGCCAGGAGGCCCTGAGCCGCAGCGCGCAGCAGGAGGCCTGCGCCAGGGAGGGCGAAGTCCAGGCGCTGCGAAGGCTGGAGGCCTTCTCCTCAAAGCTGGGCACGTCGGGAGCTTGCGAGGCAGAGCGGGCGCTCTCGCAGGCAGAGCTGCAGGCGCAGGCCGCTGGCTCTGCGGCGGAGGAAGCTGCTGCGGCGCTGCGGGCGGCGCAGGCCGAGGAGGCGGCTGAGGCGCCGTTGCGCGCGTGCGTGGCCGCGCAGCGCGAAGCACTGCTGGAGGTGGCTTGCGCCTGCGAGCACGAGAGCCTAGAGAGGGACCAACTGGAGAAGGCAATGGAGAGGCTTGCTGATCGGCTTGAGGGGCCCACAAGGGTGCCCGCTGGGCCAGAGAGGCGCGACGTAAGGCCAGGGAAGACTTACTGGGACCGGGCGCCTTTCCTAAGCATGGATGGCTTGCAGTGTGCACGGTGGAAGGCGGAACTCAATGCGGAGGAAGCGGAATCCCAGCGATTGAGCGCGCTTGTGAGAAGCCGCGACAAAGCGCGCCCAAATCGAGATGAAAAAGAGGAATGTCGCGAGCGCGAGGTTGTCCAGCAGCCGACACGACAGGCGAATTTGACGACGCTGGCGCTGCTTCAGTTGCCTGAGGAGCGCCTGCACACCGGAGACCGTTTGCTGTCAGATCCACTGGAGGGCTTGGACTCCGCACAGATGAAAGCAGCGCTGGTGCAAGATCTCGCGCTCATGCAAAAGCTACAACAGGTTAAAAGGGAGCTGGATTCCCGCTGTGACCAGGAGAGGAGGTGTCACGCCTCCCTGCAGCGTCGCCTTGCCAAGGCGGAGAAAAAGGGACACGGTTCTTGAGATGAGCTTACCAACTAGATGTCAGGGTTGCTAGGATGTGGGTCACTGAGCCGCTTCAGCAGGTGTTGATTCAGTTCGCAATGCGTTCCATTCGACGTAGAGCATTGCAAGAAAACCACATCCGGCGTGAATATCATCGCAGAACTTGATCCTTTCCAACCGCTTTTGTTTTTGAGCATTGAGCGTGGAGCCTGACTGGGGCTTTGTAGAAGGTACAGACCAAGCCAGCTCCTTTCTGAGGGGCACCAAGAGATGATGCAATGTCAGCTTTAGCTGTTTTGCTTCCAACTTCTATTTTTTTGCTAATTGTGCATTCAATTAAAATAGACACTCTTGACATTTTGCGTACACTCTTCTACATGAAGACGGACAGACGCAGAGATGTATGTGCGCACACGGACAGCGCATGCAGATTCAGCATTATGCTTGTGAATGTTACTGGACTGGCTGAAGCCTTGTCGGAGGAAGTTTAATCAAGGCAAGTCAGTTAGGCAACCGGAGCCCAAACTTGCGATGATCTGCGTACCTGATGTTGCGGTTTTGCTCGATTGAACTCATGACGGTTTCTGCAGTTTGAGAGGTGTGCAAAGTGGCTGTCGTCGGGATCCCGGATGATTGACCTATGGGGACTCCGGACCCCCCTTGGCCTATCGGGTTTCCTTCCAAACACGTTGCCAGTGGAGCCGCGGACCAGCGATGTGAGGCCTCTCCACGTGAAGTACAACTACCAGCTTCACCACCTGAAGTTCCTGGAGCGAAGCTTGGACGATTCCCTTTGCGGAGGGTTGTGGAGGATGCCCATACTGTGGATGCAGGGTTTCATCTACCCCAAGTGCAGGGTTTCATCCACCCACAGTGCGGCTTTTTTTTTTCAAGAGCTCTCTCTTGAGAAAGTTCCCTGTTGCGAACAGATACTCATTCTTCTTCCAACGGCCTTCCAACAGAAAAACCAAAAACACGCCATCGAGGGGTCACCCACCCAGCCTTGTCAGCCGCGGTCGTCCTCGCGAGCCGGGCTGCCGGGCCGGGCCGAGGAGATGGACACAGCGGGCCGCGCGCCAGGCTGCCGCCGCAGGACGTGGTGATCTGGCACTTCTCCGCGAAGCCCAAGCCCAGCAGCCTCTTTGCGGACAGGGGCAACGGGCACTGGGTGGAGGAGCTGCGAGAGGTCGTCGTTTTTTTTCTTCTTCTTCTTCTTCTTCTTCTTCTTCCAGGAGTTGCCTTTCTTTTCTGTTGAAGGGTGGCTTGAACATTCACTTTGGGGGTTTGAGGAAAGTTTCCTTTTCGGGTGATGTGTAGCTGGAACTGTGTGGTCTCCACTGCTCACGACAGCAGTGCCGGTCCTTTCGGGTGATGTTTGAAGAGAAAAAATGAAGGCACCCTGTTTGTTTTCGGCCTTTTACTTTCAGCGCGTTAATCAGATCCTTGTGCCAGATGGCAGTGGTTTGCCTGGTTGCAGTATCCCACACCAAAACAAGGGATCTTGACCACCATATTCTTGCAGGTTGAGCGAGGAGCATGTTTGCGGGTTTTCGGGTGTGTGGGCTGAGATCAAGCGTCGCAATTTGCTGAAGGAGTATTTTGCAATGATTTGGCTTGGTGGGTTGGAGATACCTCAATAGGGACATGGAATCCAAACCACCAATTCACAGGGGTCCCTATGTTGCGGGTACAACATCACCTCTTTGGCCCATGTAAGTTGGATTTTATCTTGGGTGTGAGGTGGTGAATTGCCTTAGGGGGCGCTTTCGTTGGCATCATTTTGGTGGGGAGAAATGTTCACCAACCATTTGTGGGGTTCCCCATTAACATTCGTAGCCATATTTCCCGTTTGAGACTCACTGCTGATGTTTAAAACCACCAAAAGGGTAATCGTAGCCAAATGTAGGAGAATCGAGCTTTCCGATTCCGATGGGATTGTGAGGAGTATGCGCATCTGGTGCTGCCGGACTGCGACGGCCATGAGCGGTCCATCATCAAAATGGCAGCCAGAGAATGGCTGGAGGCACTCCAGGACAGGGAGAGTCGCATTTGGGCATTCCCTTCATGGGAACACCTGTTCTCCCTTCGGTTTCCTTCAAAACACCCACAAAAAAACGCCAGGTCATCCATTTAGGTTTATGCTTTTAAGATTTGATACCCTTTTCAGCTTGGCGCAAAGGTACACAGGACACCGCTGAATTTTGGTTCCTTTGTTTGACACTTGCCGATTTGGTTTCTCCAATCTCATGAGATATGTAACAAACACCACGCATTGTAAGGGCGCCCCCCAAAAAGCATGGCGATGAGATACGTAAGGAGTTTGCCATAGCTTGCCTCCCATAGAAAAGATTGTCGGTTTCCCCTTGACAATCTTCAAGGGTAGCCTCAAGAATTGGTTTGCCCCTGGTTTCTGCTTGGGAGAAAGGGGCCAGAATCAGGGCATGGAATTGGTCAACCAGGGAACTCTGGAAAGGAGGGTCTCAGAAGCCGACCAATCCACGAGGCACTTTCTCAGGCTTGGGTTGCAAACCTGCCGACGTTGGGAATTCACCGAGACATTTGGGACGTATTCATCCTTTGCGCTGGAACACCTTCCAGGCGGCTCGGCTTAAGAGAGGACTCAGGGATCCCCTTGTTGGAGGTTGTTTGCAAGAGACCAGAGGGACACAACTTTTGGAGTGCAGTGTGCTTGTTGAGGGCTGTAAGGGAAGCCGGAAGGCAGCCCTTTGAACGGAGTCACCCCAGCTGCAAATCGAATCGCTCCAGGACGCTTCGCCGGAGGCGCGGACATTGCGGGCAATGCATGGTTGTGAAGGGAGGCAAAGGTAAAAATCACATGTGCCGTGGTGAGTTGATACCCTTTCAGGGACAGTCAGCCCGTAAAATATGGATTTTGACCGCCGTAAGAGAAGCAATGGCCCATGTCAGGGGCCCTGCCCTCCAAGATGCGTTTTTCTCGGCAAGCCGGTTTGTTTTTGTGCTTTTACCATTGTGTTTGTGTTTCGACAATTTATCACCAAACACCATGAGGACTCCCTTATGGCTAAGAGCTTGTCCTCTACCACCTCCCCCCGGCGTTTGCCCGGGCGGTGGTTTCCTTTGATGACCTAGGAGAGCTGTCCGAAATGACCTTATTGGGCTGAGCTGTGTCGATCTGATTCAATGATCACAGGGTCCTGTGACATCCCGCTTTTTGGGAGGTTTAAACATTGCTTTTTGGGTTGGCACCTCTATGTTAGCTTGCAAGCGCCGGTTCTGACAGATCAGTGGCCCCCCAGTACCTATGCAGTGATATGTACCCATTCTATGGTGACTATGTAGTGGATACCGCAGTTGTTTGAAAGGGAACTGAAGGGACACCACCTCTTTTGAAATCTAACGCATTTTTTCCTGACAACCTGGGTGCCCGCTTAAAGGCAACCCCTTGGGGTGCCGGTAGGACTTCGGACCTGCCTTTTTGCCGCCGGTGCTCGCGATCTGTGACGGCAACGTCCACGACGAGGATTGGGATCGGGGGCCCCGTGACTGAGGGTCTTCCTAAGAAGGGGTCAACTCCAAGTCTCGAGAAACGATCAAACCCCAAGTAGTGGAACGTTGGTAACGGCGCCCTTGTGTTTCCCTTTGTTAAGCGGATCCACGAACGGGATGTCGGTTGCTGGCTCGGGTGGTCCAGTTTTCACATGGCCTTGCCTAGAAACTGCCAGATGCCCCTGGGCACTGCTCGATTGCGTGGTTTGACCCGGGGGGGGGGGGGTGGGTGGGGACTCTTCACCACTTTGCTGATCTTGGCCTGGGTCATCCTATGGAAGCCCTCGGGGCTAGGCATCTTGCCCTGAGAATACCCTCACACACGAAGTGGAGCTCAGAGCAACACTACATCATTCAAACAGCTCCTTTCGACCCCTGCTTTAGCACATCACCAAGGTACTGTTCACGTGCAAAATCGACATAGGATAAACCGCCTATTGGTGACGGATTTTGCCCAACATGAACATGGGATATTGCACTTGTGCAGCTTCAAAGGTCAATGTTGTGTACTTGCTGCCCAAGTCACTGAACATACCCTTTGCTACATCAGGCTATGGGTTGCATTCGGAGCCAATGGGCCCCTCACCCATGGCCTTCTTTCCACCTTTTTCGCTGGCTTTTCGGTTTCCTTTTGGTTTCAATCCACAAGGCAATCCAAGGGTCTTTGTTTTCTGGAGCACCATCTTGGCGTGTCTTTTTGTGAGGCGGACACCATTTTTGAGGTTGAGCAAGCCGGACTTGTTTTGAGGTCCCCAAGCAAGAAAATGGCCTTCTGATTTGGCCCTCACAAAAGCCTAGCAGGCTGAACAAGGGCTCGACCCGGCCCGATTTTGGAGTTACTAGGCGTCCAAGGGCCTTTTTCCTTTCCGGGGGCATTTTACTGGGTTTTGGACCTCAAATTGCCAGGGGAGAGCCTGGACGACGCCGATGCCGGCGAAGGCGAAGGCGAAGGCGCCGCCGGTTAGGCGCCGTGGCCTAAAAGCGTGAGGAACTTTGGTTTCCGAAATCCAGAGAAGTGGCCAATTTTTTTCCAAGGGCCCAGTCTGGAGTGAATTTTGATGGTTGGAACACCTCGAAATGCTGGACATCAATCCAGCCACCTATTTTTGATGTCCACCAAAGCGTCCTTAGTCAGTATACACCACCCAAAGGAAAGATTTGCGGGAAAACAAATGATTGCAGGTACACATTTGTCGACCGTTCATGCTAGGGAGTCAAGAGTTTTAACTCCCTGTTGGTTGTCAAAAGAGATCAGCCACTATATAGAAGTTTCAGACAGATCCAGACCCACGCGGGCAACGCCCCAAGCCCTGACTGAACCACACGATGGGTTGGGACACCCTGACATGGCTTCGGTTTAGAAGTGCCAACCTCCTGATGATCCGGATGCTTTCGGGTCAAAATGGAGCCTGGGGGCAGAAGTGGGGCCGAATTAGACTGGTTTTGATGTGCGAAGACAACACCCCACTTTGAGTTGTTACTGTCAGCGCGGGAAGTCGCATCAACTGCTTGTGGTCATCAGCGTGCCAGTGGGGGAAGGCGTCAGGGTAATTCGCATCAACTTGCGCTGACAGTGGGGAAACAGTTCATGTGTGATGAAACTCAGGTTTTGCGTGGGTGGGGAGCTGCAGCATTGTGTTGGCAATTTGTGTTTGCCAGACTAGCTTATGGAAGAAGAGAAGTGTCGTGCCAATGGGGAGGGTGCTCACTCGAGCTTCCGGGCTTCCGATATTTGCTTGTCATGTGGCCGCTAGTGTCATTGAGTCGTGCAAGACTTCCAATTCCTCCGCAGTGAAGGTCGCAAGATTTTCAGCAGCTGAAAGCGATGGGGTCTCAGCACCAGATAGGGTGGCTCTAAGGCAAGGATCTGCAAGGGTTCCGCGAGGGTTCAGCGGGGGTTCCGCGAGGTTCCGCGAGGGTTCCGTGGATGCAAAGGGCAACTCCGAGGAGGGTTGCGCGAGGACGGGCTAGCTTGGCAGAGCCAAGTCTGATCTCGTCTAGATCTCGTCCGGATCTCGTTTGGATCTCGTCGTGGGCTGGCAGAGAGAAGTGGGCGCAAGCTGTGTCTCACAATCGCAAGTTTAGATATCAGAAGATCGCCAAGCGATCATGAGCGTTCCATTGGGATTATGTGTTGAAAGCCTTCACAAACATTTGCAGCAAAGTGCTTTCCTTGATTCACAATCGCATAGGCAACGCGCATTGAGGTGACTAAGACATCATTGGCTAATAAATGTGTGACACACATCGCAACGCTACAGTGGCCGAAAAAGTTGAGGTGACTTTCCGGGGCTGTTGATGTGCAGCGTTCCATGCGGGCAAGAATCCCGGCCAGATGTTGTGGCAACTTCCTATTACATCCTCACAAATAGTTGATGGACATTTGCCCATGTATTTCTTTTACGGCCACCAAAGGGTCCAAGAGCACACCCGTGTGAGCAGATGTTTGCGATGAGGCGCAACAAGAAGA